AAAATAATATGAGCATAAGCATCCATACAGACAATGATTTTCTGATGTTTGCTAGAAGCAGTGACTACACTGTGAATTTGGCAGATAGAATTTGCTATAAGCTGTTGTTTATAAACAAAATAGTTATTGATAAATCGTCACCATATGTTTGTATTGTTTGTATAATGTGAAACAAACCATCGTTTCCTCTGATTGGAAAAATTTTCTTGGGGGGTTGGGAGAAGTTGTCAAACCAGTACTGAGCAAACCAGTAAGAGATTTCTTCTGTGGGATTACAGATAATATCAGATAGATATTTTTGGAAGAAGAACTTGTGAAAGACGGAACGTCCAGAGATTTGGCACCTTTTTTTATTGTTTGTAATGAATTACATACAAGAATTTAAGTAGAAAGAATAGGGTTATGAATATACATAGATTGTTTCAAAAGGAAATATTTCTTATGGATGTGTAAAAGTGAACACAGAGCAAAGCAGCACTTCTAACCTCATTTTTTTAAAATAGACAATCATAACTATATTTTTTGTAGTTTAAAGATGTACCTCATTAACCCTGGTAGAATATGCAAAGGGATCCTTTTCCTATTAGAGAATTAATTTGATTATCCTTACTGAACAATATGCACTAGGATGCCACATCCATCCTATCTAGGTGTGAGTATACATATCATATTCAGCACTGCAAATGTATATGTAACAAAAAGACAGTCCCAAGCACAAGCAAGAAAAAATGAGGCTACACTAACTAAAGAGTGGAAAGAATTATGACCATTGATGAGAATTTTATAGAAACACATTAATGACTATTATATATGAAGATCTAACACAGCTTATGTTTAAACCTTTGGTTAAGGGATCAAGAGCACAAGGAGTGTTCTCCTCTGTCCTTCTAGTTGCAGGGAATAATAAGGAAAGAAACAGGAGGACCCAGCAGATCAATACCTGGCTCCAGGACTGGTGTCACTAGCACAATTTTGTATTTTTTGGTCATCAGTTGGTCCATGTGACACCAGGCCTGCTGGTGACAGATGCGGTGCACCTGTCTCAAAAGGGGAGAAGGATCTTTGTACAGGAGTTAGCAGCAATCATTGAAAGAGCTTTAAACTAGAAAGGGATAAAATCCAGGCTCACTAGAGATAAGCCTGGGGGCAGCACACCAGTGTTTGACAGACACTGGGGTCCTCCAGTCTGCTCCACGGTGTCCTGAGTACACTGGAGCACATTGGAAATGTCCCTGCACTAATGCACGTAGCACCAAGCCATGTCAGTGGAGAGAGGGGATGGAGGTCCACACAGCAAGGATGTAAGGGTCATCAGTGCCTTAGAAACCACTGAAGCACCAGACAACAGTCACATAGGAATGAGGACTTCTGCCCACAAAAAGGTGGCAGGATCCACTTAGTGGATGAGGGAGAGGCAGTGGATTTTGTCTACCTAAGCTTTAGTAAAGCTTTTGGCACCATTTCCTACAGCATTCTCCTGGGGAAACTGGCTGCTCATAGCTTGGGATTTACACTTTGCTAAGTAAAAAACTGGCTGGGTGGCCAGTTGTGGTGAATGGAGTTAAATCCAGCTGCTGTCTGGTCACGACTGGTGCCCCAGGGCTCAGTATTGTTAGGACTTATTTGCATATAGATGGGTAGGTAGTGCCACCTGAGCTGGCTTAGAGAATTGGAGATATTTGCATAGTGGTGGCAGTTATGTCATAAACAAGCAGAATATTTTCCACTTCTGATGGAACATGTGGAGGTCAAGTGCCATACCAGAAGGTATCTAAAATGGCAGCACTATATCTGTGTTTAGGCAACTGAATTCCAGTTTGTATGTCAAGTTATCATGATATTTTTCTTCTTAGCGTTGCAGAAGAGAATCATACTGAATATTGCAAGTGCTGAGTTTCCATCATACTAAAATAAATAAAACCTATGGTTTCAGTATTAGTTTCCACAAACTGTGAGAATGCATATTCAGTATGTATAGGCTGGAGCCAAAGTCAGTGCACGCAATCTCTGCCATAAATATGTGCTGAGTCATTTTATATCGCTGCTGCTGAGTCCAGAGCATAACTCTCACATTTGCACAGTTTTATAGCTGCCAAAATTATTTCCCTTTCATGTCTTCAACCTCAGTGGATAGTTCAGCATTGCTTTGAAACTCATGGAAGCTAGATTTACAGATACACTGAACTTGCTTTGAAAATCTGATTCTGATTTACAAACCAGGAAATGGAGGTCCAGCCTGCAGCATCTGTAATGCATCCTGGAGTTCAACTAGCCAGAAAAAGAGGTTTGCCCTATGGCACTGAGAGCTCAAGTTTGGTCTTAGATTTTGGGGATAGTTGTCTTGGGGAGAGGGATGAGGCAGTACAACCTGAAGGTGAAAATATCTCAAACATATGGATCAATGTTTCTCAGGAGACATGTGGCAATCTCAATATGTAGTTCTTTGTGGTCCTTTGCTACAACCACTCCTGTTGCCTGTGTGCCCATGCTAGCCCAATGCTGTTTGGCCCAGGCAGAAGACCAGAACGAGGTCCAGTGTTGAAGTACAGTGTGTACTGGTATAGCACTGCATGAAACAACTTAGGTAATAATTTCTGTACATTTTGCAGACTCATGTGTAAACTCAGACTAATATAAGGCTTTTGTTGTGATTAAACACAGTTTTTAATCATGGCTAGTCTCTAAAGATGGCAATTTAGGAAGTACTTTGTCACTCAGTGCTGTTTATGAAGCAGTCATTTATGGAGCTTTATTCCAGCTGAGTCTGCTGCTTGAATTATACAGAGGCCACTCAGAAAGAGTTACCTAGGCAACCCTTCAATTGGTCCTTTTGTGCTCAAATTTTACCTCTTTCATCATATTTCAAAGCTGAGTGTCCAATTCAGACTGATTTTCCCATGCCAACAGCAGCTACCAAAATGGAAAAGGAATGGATTTGGTTTTTAGGATGTACCCCCACAAACTCCTGCACCAGCCAACCCCCAAGAAGTCAGGCTTCAATAGACTGCAGCAGTGAAGTACAGATCATCTGCTCACTTTGGTAAGGACCTGAAAGCTAAAGGCAAAAGCTAGCTCAGGAGCCTTTTAAGGACTGTGAGGAGTGTGACAAATTGTGCCTATGTACATTTTTAAAATCTTTTAATGATTCTACCTATTATGGACCTGTTGACTTTACTGTCATGTTACAATCATGCAACTTGAGTGTTTTACAAAGTGTAGGAGTTAACAAAATATCATCTTCTGCTGAGATCAGCACATAACTGTCAAAGTAGCTGCAGCCTGTCAATGTGTCAAGAGGTAGACAGGGAGTTGCTTCCAGTCAGTATCAGGTGATACAGTCATGATGGAAGAGCCTGAGCTAAGAGTTAGGCTTGCTTCTGTAGGTACTGATCAGTTCAGGTAGCTGAGTAGTTGAACAATTCAGGAGTTCGTGATATTGGAATAATTAAGAGCAGTTCTTCAATCAAAATTAGCAGTAAGTAGAAAATGTCATGAACAATACCAACATATGGTGACATTTCATCAATAACTCTTTTGCTTAGAAAAAAATAACTGCTGTGGTCATTGAAAAGGCTGCTTCTTACAGCGTTGTCATGAGGTTTATGTAAGCAATCTTAAGACAGGGCATTAACTGACAAGAAACCTGTATTACAAATCTATGGGAAAAGTAACTTGCATACTGCAGAGAGGACTGAATTCTCAATTGCTATCTTTTTGCAAAAGAGTAAAACAAGAACACTACATGAAGAAGTACCTCTCGTGCTCTCAAACAAGCACAGTTTTCATCAGGTACTCTTTTTTGGACTTCTTCGACTTCTTCTTCCTCCAGAAGCTTTCACTGAGATCCCTAGGACTCTTTCCACAGGCTTAACAGGGTTTGCATTACACACATCTAAGTGAATGTTGCCTTGTTCTGTGGTTTAGGTTAGATTCATGTGCAATTCTGAAGATGTTGCCAGCCTATGTTAAAAGTTAAAAAGTTATTTTAATATATACATCCTGAAAAGGCTGAATCATGCTCCCTTTGCTTTCTTTCTGTGGCAGTCTGAGAGGGCTCCATTTTGTTAGAAGAAGCAGCCTAGGGAAAGAAAAGTGTATGGCAGCCAGAAGGTTTCTGTCATGGGAGAAGGTCCCTATATTCATACTGTGTAATAGAGATAACAGGTGAACAGAATACACATAAAAGGAGACTAGAGATCGATGTGAAAATCACCTATACAAATCGGAGAGGGACGTCTTTCCTTTAGTTTTAGCACCAAGTTGTTCAGAAGAGTGCTGTGTTGTGGCTGGTCTAAACATGGGAGGCTTGGGCTGGAGATAAGGACATTTGCTCCTGTTCTTCTCCCCATGTGGACAGCCCAGCAGTGAAGATGGGGCCCAGGGAGGTCATTGCATCCCCATCCTTGGTGGTTTCACAGCTTGACTGGCCAGAGCCCTGAGCAGCCTGGTCTGACATTTAAAGTTACTCGCAAAAACTTGAAATTAGATATATGTATACATACATATTATACATATATATATTTATATGTGTATATATATGTTTTTTGTGTGCACACACACACATGCACACACATATCTCTGTCTCTATGTCTATCTACGCGGCCAGGCTTGATGCAGTCCAGACCAGTTCTGATCCCTGACCAGTCAAGCCCACATCCCAAGGGAGAGCCTCTGGGAAGACATATCGGAGCCACAAGGCTCCCCTCCAGGGAGAAGGCACAACATTGCTCCGTGCACCCCAAGGGACCAGCATCACTGTCAGTGTAGCTGCAAGCAGAGGTTCTCAGGTGGTCTGTGTTGCGGGCATACTGCATAGTCTGGCCAAAATCATTTTACTGTATCCTAGCTAATGTTGTTAGGTAGGTGTGGTGTTAATGCAATGTTTTCAGACCCTATGGGTTCTCACTGAAACACAGCACAGTCCTCAGGACTCCTCTTTGAAGAATCCCTAGCCTCATTCATCCACTTCAGTGTTCTGCTCACTGCGGCTTTTTTTACAGAATGAAGAGGATGAGGACCAGCCGCTCAGCCTGGCCTGGCCTGACACCCCACGCAAGCAGCTCACTTACCTTCTTGTATTACCTATTGTTTTTCCACTGTGGGCTTCCCTCCCGGATGTCAGAAAACCTGTAAGTGACTCTTGTTGTAAGTCAGCGTGTTCTGCACAATGGGGTGGTTCTCTAGCTAAATGCCAAAAAGGGACTGTAGAGGATTTTTTCAAAAACAGAGCTAACCTTTTTTTATTTGATAGTTTCTTCTTTGAAGAAGAGGTTTATTGGCTTATTGTGAGAAGTTACCAAGTCTTACCACTTTTGTATTCACATATACAAATAGACCTGGCTAGGGAGAGTCATGTAAAGTAAAAGTAGAAAAGTCAAGAGCGGAAAAATATCCCATAGTAGTGTTCTAGTATCTTTTCCTTTCTGGATCAAAAAATAGATTTAAAACTGCTGCAAGAGAAGGACGCACAGCTTAGAAGGTTATAAATCAACACCCTGAATTCTTTTTTCATTCTCACATACACTGAAAAACTTTCCCATCCCACACACTGAAAAACTGCAATTCAGTGCAAGAAACAAGCTAAAATAAGACCTCTGATTTGTTTTTAGATAAAGGTTTCTCAAAGGATATAAACTGGCATTTTCCCTTCCAATCTTTAAGCTTTCTTTTCTTTAAGTTTTCAAACAACTCTGGTAAACACTTTTTGTTTGGTAACATAGACAGCATACTACATGAATTTCAAGATTGTTTATTTCTGTATTTGTGCCCTCCCTTTATTGTTCAAAACCATCCCTGTAATTTTTTTCACAATTTGGCCCAAAATGAGTAAGTACTGCTAAGAAATAAGTCTGTGCCTCATTTTGTATTTTGAAGATCTGAAGTTACCACAAATGGATGGGTAGCCTCATCCAGTATTCTGTGCCGTACAAATGAGAGCTGTTGTTACAATACGGGGTTTGGAAAGCGAGCTTCACAAGAGGTTGGGTGCAACTGTGTGATGCATGTGATCGTTAGCACGGGCATTGTTCACGATGGAACCCCCGTGCTTACATCCTACCGCTGAAGTATCCCGCTGCAACGCAGTGATATTCTCACCTATGCCTGTGTGCAGTCCCCGCTATTCCCTTCCTAACAAAAAAACCACAATGTCACAGCTCAGCACGTGCATCAGAAAACAACTGTTCGTGAAATCTGTGAGGCAAAAGTTAAAACAAACCTCAAATAATGCTTAAATAGATTTTGTAGGTAGGCCTATTGTGAGGAGCTTGATTTGGAAGTGTGGTAATTTTAGTCAGAAACCCAAATTCTGCATCAGGATGCTCAGATTAGCATGTGGATACATAAAGTGAACACTTCTGTGCTATATGCTGATTTGTGAGACCATATGGAGCCGTTGATATCCTCTGTGGGTGTCCACTTCTCAAAAATGAGTTCTCCTTTCCTCCTAGAGTCTCTTTTCTAAAGTATATTTTATCTCCACATAATTGAGACAGTTTGACTGCATTTACGTGTTTTATACCAAGCTATATTTAGCTCCATGAGACCCAGAAGCTCTAGAAAAATTATTTCATATACAAGGTCTCTGGTTATAAAGTTAGCAAAATCCTCGTTGCCTTATTATGCACCAGTGTACATATGCAGATTTTTATATACTTAGAGTAGATTATACCTTAGTTCAACTAACTCTCAGCTGATTCAATAGCTGACATGTTTTAATGTGTGTTTAGTTCCTTAATAATACCTGCTCACATTAAGCCAATATATATTGAAATCATTACTGTAACATCGACAATGTTGCTGGCAGTACACCAGAGGTAGGTGTGCCCTTGGGGAATTTTGTTTCTGACTTTGTGTTCAAGTGTTTTGAACAATAACAGGCATTTTTCCTGTACTAATAGCTTATTTCCCCAGTGGCTCTGTGAAGGCCAAACATAACTGTCCACCTTCTGCACTGAGGAATATTGAAAGGAAAATGACATGACCAGGGTGGCCCAGCGGGTCGGTGGCAGATATTGAACACCATCTCTTTTATTATAGCCATACTGCACATTCCATCCATTTGTGTTACAGGCCAGAAAAATGGCCATCAGGGCTCCAGTCCAGCCATGGGGCAGTTCGTTGTATCTCTGCAAATTCCCAATACCAGCAAAGAGGTACAACTTACATGAACTCTTGTTGCCATACAGAGATGCACTGTTACCAAGGGGACAAGGACGAGATGTTCCTGCACAGATCTAGTTACAGAAGCAGGTTCTGAGTAATCAGATTTAAGCACTGTCAAAGGAAAATCAAAGCTTGCGATCCAGATAAATTTATGTACAAGAAAAACATGTGATTCATTCAGGTTAAAGGTAAAGTAAAGGTGTTGTTAACAATACTGGCTAAAATTAAGGCAGTTACTTTGCAAATTATTAAGCACTCACTACATTTCAGGATCTGGCTCTTGGAAGAAAAACCTTCATACTTGGATCATTCTTGCTACTTAAAGTCCTGTTTTTCAAGCACTGACGTGAAATCAATACAGAAATGTACCAAGAAAAATGCACTTAAACTTGCTGGTAGACAGAAACAGTACTGATGCAACCAATCTACAGTGAAACTATAAAATTCTTTCTCTTTTGTTAAAAGAAAATAGCATATAAACTGAATGAGCCATGGCTTTTCTCATTTGTCTGTTACCATGACCACAACAGAATCAACTGGTAATAAACTGGGTTCTCTTTCTTTCCAAGGCAACCATCACAACAGCTACCAGAAAAGGTGGAGAGAAGTACTGCTGTCTGCTGTCTCTGACTAATTCTTCTAGGAAAATGCTTGGAATTGGCAGTTATCTGTATTTCCAAGAGCTAGGGAGTTGCAATGAGATAAAGCTCAAAAGAATGCTGTCATTAGTTACAAAATAAGCATGATTATTATTATACTCTGGAAATAAAATGCAGCATCCGAAAAAGAGTCAGCACTCTCATTACCGCTTTTTAAAAATTTAATCTATATGCAAATTATATAGCAGCATCTATGGAGTCCGTTCTTCTTGTAATACATACAAGCTTTGAATTTTGCCCTTTTGAGGTTAAACGTTCCTCCTTTTTAAAATAGGTAATTAAACTGTTAAGCCTATTAAAGTGCTCTTAGTCTTGAACTGCTGCTTATCGGTTACTTTTCCTGGGAGAGGATTTGCTAAGACAGGCTAGGAATACACATGCTGAGAAGTTACTGACTTGTAATTCTTAGCCATCCCAATTCTGTGGGTGTCTGACTCAGATAGGCAATGTCTCGTCATTTTGCAAGAACCATTTGGAGTATATAATTGCACTGACAGAGAGCTATTACTGGCCACTACAGCTCTTGCTGTTTTAGTTTTGCGTGAGCCAATCTATGCGTATATCTTGAGTGCCGTATAGTGATTATTCAAATTGCATTGCTATGGGGTGCTCTGTGTAGATTTTGTGACCAGCTGCAGCAAACTTATAGCTTCCTCATCTCATTCACTATATCTGTTGCCAGAAAATACCAGTTTTTACAAGGAAGATAAAAAATGTTGAAAGTTGAAAGAGTTGGCTACTAAGAATGGTGAAGAGGAAGTGCTAGCTATTTGATTTTAAAATTGGAAATTGCTGTTTATCCATTCTGTACTCAATTCTGCTCCCGCTGGTATCAAATCAGTATTTTAACAGTAATCTTTGTGTTCCTTTCAAATTGTGTTCCTTTTCAGAGTAAGGTTTTCTGTCCTCCAGTGCATGTAAAGTTTTGATTTTAGAATTAAAAGCCCATCTGGGTAGGTTCAAACTTCATTATCAGGTTTTCTGAGTTGAAAAAGTAACTCTGTTTGCTTGGTAAAGAGTTAAGAAGCAGTTAAGTAGATCAACCAAAGTACCCTGGGCAGTTCTAGAAACAGTGCTTGTGACAGTATTGGAATTTATATGGAAAGGATGTTTCCACATGCCACTGGGGCTATTTATGCCTATATTTAAAGATAATTTATTTAGAACACCTACTGGAATGATTTTCTTACTCTAGCAGTATTTCAGTTATTTATTTATATAAGATGGTGCTTGGGGGCACTGTTTAGTCTGTACCATCTCTAATGTGTGATCGTATGTGTATTCAGTTGTGGTGTTTATATAGGTCATGGTAGCAAATGTTTGCATGCTCCGTTTTCAGGAGGGCATTTAGCATTATGCAGGGTGCCCACAGGGAGTGAGTTAAGTGTTCTGTAGCACAGAACTGCAGCTGCACCTGCTGCTAGAGCAGATATGGACCTTTTAGTTGTCCCGTCCTGTAGATGAGGGTGCACAATTGCCACTGCTGACTTTTCCTTTTTCCCATCAGCCATGACCTAATCTCTTTCCGTTTACATCAGCAGAAAGGATCTACACGATTTCAATGAGCTGCGGACCAGCTTCACTCTGTTTTGGTTCAGCTGACAAAAGGCAGCATCATTCCCTCATGACCAGCTCTAATGGCCAGCCCAATTCACTCAGCACCTCTTAGTCCACAGCCACAGATGATGATCAGTTCCTGAACATGAGGCTGTCCCATATAAAATGCCTCTTGTGTCGGTTATGCAAGAAGAGCTGTCTGTGCAGATCTGTAAACTCCCTAAAAAAAAAAAGAGGGCTTTATCATGGCTTGAACAAGCTGAATTGAAAAAATTGAAATAGTATTTTCTCTCCAAAAGAGAAAGCCCTGCAGTACTGTCTGCTCCCACAACACCTAGGAATGACCCACAGGCTAAGGAGTCTCCCAGTGCAGCAGGAGCACCTCCTGCAGTGGAGGGGGTGCAGGAAAGGTGCAGTACCCAAAAATTCTAGAGACCCCTGCAGAGAAAGAGTGGAGGGGAGTTAGCAAGGACTTAACAGGAAAAGGTAGTGCAGGATGGAGCAGCAGCTGGAACAGGTATTCAAACACAACTTACTTCCACCACCAGTTCTACTGGTTATTCATGAAAATTCGTAGGACTCTGCTAGTGGCAAGCCAGGAGTCCTCTGGGATGAGGATCTGTGTTCAGTAGGTTGATGCCCATAATATGGTTATATTCAAGACTGGTAGCATTCATTCACAGTACAAATTTCATTTTAAAAACTAATTTGATTTAGACAGTGATTGGCTGGTACAGTACTGCAGTCATGTTTCTTTCCTTTAGTAGTTAACTTGAACTGGTTTTGTTACACAGATCTAACTAGCCAACAGGAAATATGGATGATGCAAAAGACTGCAAAGAACAGAAACCAAAACAAATCATAAATCTTAATATAACTAATTCACTGGCTGCAAGAACACTATCTGTTCAAAGTTTGACATTAGTAAGGGAGGCAATGAAAATGGAAATGAAGTTACTTTGGTGTTATTAATTGAAGGGCCTTGAAGTGTGTTTTACATGTTTCTATAGCAAACTTCTCTACAAAACGAAGCATGGCAAATAAGTGCTTAACGTATCTTCTGTTCTAATTGAGTCAGTGGGTTATTTTCCTAAGAAAAGTAATGCCCTAAATACCATAATAAATTTTAGATATGTATTTTTTTACCTCTGTCATATGGCAGCCTTTGTTATACACTGTGAAAAGTGTTGCACAAAGTTACTGTGTGAATGAAAGGTATGGGCACATGTTTTAGCAATTTGAAAACATTCCTTCTGTATAAGCAGGAAGCTATTAATAAATTTAGAAGTCAAACTACCATTCAGCCAACCACAAATGCAAACTGCAGCATAACAGTATATGATACAAATGACAACCCAAAACTTGCTATTCATCATACAAGGTGTTAGGAGGTGTTATTTTACAATGGTTGGAAAAATGTATACCAGTGTAGGGAGTCAGTTTCTTACCATTCTTGACATTTATTTTGATCATCTGATGATGATCAGAGCAGTTGGTCAGAAGAGGCGGTCAGAAAAAATGAGAGGCCACTCTCATTCTGAAAAGCAGGTAAGAGTATAGCACATCAGCTGCCAACATAGTCATTCATTGTTTCTCTTTGTTTCTTTTTCAGAGGTCAAGAAAATTTTTTCCTATCACATTTTTTGGCTCTATCAGCTGGATTGCATTTTTTTCTTACTTAATGGTCTGGTGGGCACATCAGGTAAGGAGGTGATAGTGGTACAAAATACAAGCTCTGTATTGTGTTTTGCACTGTGAGAGATCATTTAGAATCGGAGTCCATCATCTATCTCATGCTGAGTAGTGCTTTATTTTAGGAGCTGCAACCATGAAGGAAGTAAATCACTACTCAGCAAATGGAAAGTAGTTCAGAGAGCTGCGGTTGTTCTGACCACAGGACTTGATCATTCTGGTAACGTCAGAGCCATCAGCAACCTCTTGTCAGTACCTACTGGTTCTATTTGACAACCTTATCTTTCTCCTGAAACTTGTGGAAATCTGTGAAAACAAGTAATTCTCCAATCTTGTCTGTATTCTCCAAGCTAGTCAGTGAGCTCCAGGGTAGTATTCCTGGTTAAACAGATTTACAGCAGCGAACATTTCTTCACCACATGATGTTTTTTTGCTTGAACCCTTTTAGGTTGGAGAGACCATTGGTATTAGTGAAGAAATCATGGGACTGACTATTCTAGCTGCTGGCACATCCATTCCTGACCTTATTACCAGTGTTATTGTGGCACGCAAAGGTCTGGGGGACATGGCTGTATCCAGTTCTGTTGGAAGCAACATATTTGACATCACAGTGGGGTAAGTCCTAGAGCAAGAAAATTGTGTCTGTTCTAACAAGTCTTTGGTTCTTAGCATGTTGCTGTGGTTTTGCCAAGGGATTGCCTGCAACGATTTTCTGCCGTGGATGATTAAAAAGGAGAGTGATGCAAATAGGCAATAGATGTTACTATTTCAAGTGCTCGTAAGGTTATAGATGTTTACGTGACAGAATTTTTACAAATTTGTTGCCCAATTATCTGTTTGATACATTGCAGAGCTGCCTAGGCAAGTGAATGCACTTTAAAAAGTATGCAAGAGCATTGTTCCAAGAAGGCATTTCTAAAGGTTTTTGTGCTTTTGTCAGGTTACTGCTGTTTGCTTATGTTACCACTCATTGTGCTTATACTAGAGCTTTCTCTGTAAGTATGATGATCGAAAACAATTCATTGCCTCTGCAGTATTCAGCATGTTTGCTGTATTAAAAACAGAATGTCATTGTCTTATGTAGCTCATTTAGGCTGTTGTTGACATGTGATTTTTTATATACCTGGCAAGTCCCAAATTACAAACCAGTCGTCTATTAACACAAAGGACCCTTTGTATAGCTCTGACAATGTGAAGCAACATCAGACTGTGCAGAAATGTGTTGTTTAGACTTTATTGCTTCATGGCAGTTCTAGGATAATGATGTGTGGCCTGCAGTTGCAATTCAAATTCCTGTTTGACCTTTTGAGACCAAGCTAGATCAGGTCCAGAAATAATGTAATCTATGTCTCATCGTTTCAAAAATGTGCAGGAAATACACAACAAAACTGCCTTTATTCCCACATTCCCATCTTCAACACAGGACAGAGGCGCTGAGAATCATGTCCATACTCTCAGTTTGTCCATCTTTGGTTGTTTCTTGCTATCACACATGGAGAAGAACAGGTCTAGTCATAGTTGTAGTACCAAACAGCCTAGTCGTAGAACAGATTATGGATTTCGCTGCTAAAAATATACCAGCAACTGCACAGGTAAAAAAAAAGGGATCCTGAAGTTACAGTGGATAGTAAATGGCTTTTTTACTCTGTCTCTTAGCTAATGGCAGTATCTTTGGACACAGCAGAAAAAATGGGGCACTTTTTTCTATTGATTCAGAAGCATGAAGTGTTTGAAATAACATCTATAAGCAGCAGACCCCCCAAAATATATGAAAACATTATTCACTACCATGTGCTTCAACTTAGAGCATGTAGGGTGCATTACAAGACTTTTATCTTCTGCAATGCTTTCTTACTTTTCTTAAAATTTTTAGTATTCCTGCCAATGGGAATGTTGTTGTTCTGTAGCAGTCTGCTAGACCTGGTGCACTTACAGCAGAAATGGCACACTTGAGCTGAGGGCTGGTGTAGTTAGCACTGAGGCTGTAATAAATTATTCTCTCTTGAGCTGCTTATTCAAAGTTTGAATGTCGTGAGCTTCTGACAGCTCTCTTCATGCTTTCTAAGCCTGCTAAGCTCCAATCAGTGGCTTAAATATTTATTTCAGCTTGACATCTTCTAGAGGGATGCTGCCTCATTCTGTGGCATCAGAGATGAGAAATGCAATGACAGCAAATACAGAAATAGAAATTAAGCTGGAGTTCAGTTGAAGTTCACATTTTAACACAGGTTTATACAGTAAACATGGATCAAGGCTTTTAAGGGCCAAATCTGGGGGGCAGTGCCTTGCAGAGTGCTGGTTCTTCATGTCAAGGACATGTCTTTATGCAACCCACCCTGCTGTCATGCAGGCTCTTGGAAACAGAGTGGAAGCAGATCCTTCCGCAGATGGTCTGAAGCCCAGGAACAAATGAAAGGGGTCTTCTGGCTCACAGACAGGATGCCAGGTGATCTGTTGGCCAAAGGAAATGTAGTTCACCAGTGTAACTAGTGGAAGTTTGGGGAGCCATGTGTTCTCCCCAAGAACCCCAAGCAAGCTGACAAATGAGATTTATGTACATATCAGAAGAGCTGAAAGTCTTCCTGCCTCAGGTAATGCAGGAAGTCTCTGCTTGCATTTTTTAGTGCCACTTTCTAGTGGTCCTTTCTGCACTTCTGCAACATTTCTGATTAATTTTTCTGTTTCTTAACAGCCTTCCTCTTCCGTGGCTCCTGTATGCTATGATTAACAGCTTTGCCCCGGTGACAGTCAGCAGCAATGGCCTGTTCTGTGCGATTGTCCTCCTCTTCATCATGCTGCTCTTTGTCATCCTCTCCATCGCTTTCTGCAAGTGGAGGATGAATAAAATCCTGGGCTTTCTCATGTTTGGGCTGTATTTTATGTTCCTGATCGTTAGTGTCCTCCTGGAGGACAAAGTGATCCAGTGTCCTGTCTCCGTTTAGTGGAAAATGCTGTTTCTTGAGAAAAAAAAACAACAATGAAACAAATGTATTTATTAAAAAAAAAAAAAAATATCAAAATGAAACAGCGAAAAACCGCAACGGAAAGCTTCTACGAGAATAACCCTTGGATTTGTGAATTTCCTCTCCCTCAATTTTAAAAGAGAGAAAGAAAGAAAGAAAAAAAAAGGGATACAACGGGTGGATCTCAGAGCTGAAGAACGACCACTGCTGGGCAGTGCAGTCACACCTGAAGGGCTGGGTCCAGCTGCGCTGAGGTTTTCTTTGTCGCCGCACACACGGACACAGTAAAAGCTACTGCTTCTCCTCTGCCCATGGCCCAGACTTCTGGCGCGCTGTAGTAGTGTACACGGACACACGGCGTGCCCAGTTCTTGCAGCTCTCATCTTCTAAGGGGAATGCTAATATTAACTTTGTGGAGGCACCACCACCCCCACACCCTGGTATGGGATTTTTCTGATAATCTGCTGAAACTCCCGAATGGAAAGCGTACGCTGAGCGCATGAGTCACAGATAGGGAAGAGCTTGAACATCTCTTCATAGAAGTGGATTTATATGGTGCCATTTCAGCAAAGCCAGGGAGTTCATCAGTGTTTTGAGCCTCTGCATCACAGGTCTGTAAAGCCAATCAGCAGGATGTTAGTGGTGGTTTATTACATCTTGCAAACGCTTCAGATTCCAGAAACTCTGGCTCTGGTGCTGAAGGGGCCACGCTGCCTGGCCATTTTGTGTGACTGGTGCAGATTTTCATTGCATTCACATGCAAAGACCAGAATGGGGATAACTCTTTCTTCTCTAATAGCAACACAGCATGCGGAGAGATCATATAACTACTATGAGAACACACCGTTTTTTTCTAATGCAGCAATACTAATAACAACAGTACCAATGGCTTTCAGATGTTGTTACCATTGTGAGTTTGCCTTTTCATGCCAGAAGAAAAAGGCTAATTTGCTTATGTGTAGTAATTCATACAGAAAATAGAAGTAGTTGTAAAGTGGCAGCCTAATTGCTGAAGTGGATATATGTTTTACAGGCTGTCTTTCATCATTACTTGGAGTGTAAGGACCTTCACAGCTACATATAGCCATTGCTGGAAGAGATCCCCAGCTGCTGTACAAAGCTGGGGCAGTTCACATTTGCTTTTATAAATCTTGAAACTAGGTAGGGAAAACTAACTGTTTAAATATAGTGGAGCTGCAGGAAACCTACATGAAAATTTTTCAGTATTGCTGGAAGTGTGAATGTCTAAAGAAGCCCAGGGGGTATTCTTTTACTGGAATCCTGAGAGAAGGAGAAGGTCCAAACCTAGAACAAAAAAAAAATAACGAGAAAGAAAGCAACTAAGTGTTTGTCTTTCCTCTAGTTTGGATAATTAAAAAAAAAATAAATGAGAGGACTGGAATGTGTATTAAGAAAGTATTTAAGATAACCATTTGTTTGTTCAACTCTTATGTGCAGTTAGAGTTCATTAAATTTCAGCACATTTCTGTGACCTGTTTCAGCATTGTTTTGTACCCGAATTGTGCTCACAATGGCAATGCTGTGCTCACAGCTGTGTAACAGAAGGCTCAGCACATTTTGTCTTGTCTGTTTTTCTGTGTTCCATGCTGTTTGCTTCTCACTCATCCTGTTGTCCTTTACTGTTTTCCTGTTATATGTGTTTGTATATAACAATATCTGGTTAGAGACTACAGACAGAAAACAAAGGTAGAGAAAACAGTAAAAAATACATATTATAAGTTACTAAAAATTTAATATTATGCAATATCATGAAGAAAAAAGTAAAATAATAATGAACAAAAGCAAGAAACTAGGAGTTACAATGTCTGCCACTCACGTCTTGTCCCAAGATACTATGTCCTAGCTACATTCAAGACCAGGTATTTGATCTTAACCACACATTTGCAACATCTCTTGCTTCTTAGTGCTTTTTAGTGTGAGCTTCACTCATTGTGAGCAAAAAAAAAATTTGTCTGTGTATTTAAGATCCTTCATTTCTCCCGAATCTATACGATAGTCTCAAGGGTAGTGCTGCCCACCTCTGAATAGGCGTTTGGAAGGGTGTACGCCATGGAAAGATAGACATGTACGTACCTACAGTGCCCTCTACTGACGGGAGCAGAGATCTTGTCAAACCAAACCTACAACCCAAATTCCGAGCTCAAATGAAGCAGTTGCCCTAAGACTCGGGGCTGATTCTCTGCGCTAGAATCTGTCCCAGAGCAGTCACCAAACTCTTTTATTTCTGACAACGGTGCTCAAAACAGGCACAGATCCTTTCCCAAGTGAGCAGAGTTAAGACAGATCCATCCACACGAGCGTGTGCAGGAACAAAATAGGTCTCTACGTACAGGCGTTACAACATACAAAGATGCCAAGATTCACCAGTCTGGCATTTAAAATCACAAAACCAAGGAAGGGCGAGAGTCTGATCTCTGTTCGGTACATTGCTCCTTTTTTGCTTGGTTGGTTTGGGGTTGGTTTTTTTTTTCGTTCGTAACTTGGTGTAACTCCCATGCTGGAGAGGAAGAAGCCCTGCCTGAGCTGGGGAGCTGTAAGAGGGCTCCGCTGCACCCTGCAAAGTGAGGGCTGCAGCAGGGGAGGCCACTGCCCCACGGAGGGCAGGCAGGGAGAAAAGAGGAACTGACCAAAAGCCCTACACACTGGGAATGTTTCAGTCCAAAGCTGGCATCAGCAGCTCGAAGGAAGAATTTTATGTGTATGGCTAAGGGTGGTGTCCTGTAGTGGCATTTGTATGCTGTCTTAAAATATACCTGACTCATTCCTTTCCTGTGTCTGTTTGCCCCCATCAATGTATTTATCTCGGAAGGTATTAAAAGTAACTTTTTCCCCTTAGGAATGAGACACTTCACAGCTCGCGCTGCCTTGCATCTGCTGGGCAGATCTTAATTCAAATAACTGGATAGCGGTGTGGCCAGTGTGCAGCTCAGCTCCAGAGGTAATAGGAGAGGTTTCAGTTGTGTGGCGCTTTTCGTGGAGGCTGGCTGCAAAAGCTGGTTGTACTTACCAAGGCAGCTTTCCACATAACTGCTGGGGTAAACTGTTTTAGGATCCTTGCATGCTGATGTGCCCTTCAATTATAGCACAGCAGCTGTGCTGGTGGACAAAAGACAGGGGTGGGATGGAGGGAGAAGCATGGGCCCTTATACCATGTGGGAGGAGTTTGAAAATCTTAAACTGGAGAGAGCAGCCCAGAGCTGCTGCAGCCCAGTGACTGGACGTCCATAACCTCTATAGGTTCTACATTGGCAAAAATGCACACCACTTGGTGGAACACTGCTATTTTACAATGACAGCAGATTTCCCAGCACAAAGTGTTTCTCATTGTTCATAGCTGTTTCCTTGTGGGATCCATGAACATTTCTCAACATTGTACACCTAGAAGCCACAATTAAATTTCTGTTTTCTTCAAAGTTCTGAAAGACTTCACTAGGGATCTGGTCCAGCAAACTGCCCAAATTCTACAGCAAGTTGGTCAGCATTGAAGCCTCTTCCACCTGCCTGTATGCTTGTGTTCATTTATTCAATTGACTATGCTGTCTGCATAATCCTTATGAAGCATGAATGAATAATTAATACAGAAATCAGTGTTGTGATCAAGGTCCTGTTCTAGCCTAGGGTGTTCAGGACAACACCAGGTTGGCAACGCAGTAAGTAAGATAAGAATGCAGCTTCAGGTTAAATGGGCAACTCTCTGTGGCACCATCACACCTGAACAGAACCAGTGTTGGGCATGATTTTTGGAAGGGATTTCCAGTAGCATCTGAATAGGATCATGGGTGAGATTGTGACCTGTTGTAAAATTTTCTGCACTAGCTTCATTGGAATTAAAGAAGAGAATGGGCTCCATCAGTACAAAATACCACTGGAGTCCTACAAGTTGTTGCTGTTTTCTGCTAAAACCAAAACCAAAAAAGCTGGCTTCCCTCTGCAGAAGCCAGAATCGAATCTGTAGGGTAAATGCTACAAAAGTGTGATAAAAAGTGTGATATAAGGATGATATCCTCAAGAACTACATGTAGACATGGAAAAATCTTTCAACAAAGTTCAGTGTATTTTAAATTAGCAATTTTACTGACAGCTAGTGCTTTCTTATAGAGCAGACAGGCTCTCAGTGTCTGTATGCCTCTGCTTATTTATTCAATTGATGTGGCTGTCTGCATAATCTTCATGAAGCATAAAGCACAGTGGGTGACAAAGAAGCTTATCTAGATGTCATTTGATGTTTGTAATGGCAATGAACCTACCATGTAATTTCCACATACGCTACTCTGAAGTAGTTTATGGCCGCTGTCACTCATGGTACTGTTGTGTGTGGATATGAAGGTCCACAAAGCAGTAAATTAAACATGTGGTTAATCCAAGTACTGTAAAAAAATAGATGCTTAGAAATACTCTTAATGTTTGGGTGTTTTTTAAGGGATTATTTCTCTGGTTGTCTTTTACTTCATTACATATTTTATGAAAAAGGGGATATACAATGTTTTTTAATTATTCTTCTTTCAGCAGTAATTCTTTAAAATAGCATCTTGTGGTCCATATAAGTTATGTTCTAGATCAAATATGAGTCTGTATCAGATGGATGGATTTATTTAACTTATAACAAAGAAATAATCCCTTCTCCAACAACAGGCCCACTGAAATCCAGATTATTTCCACCATTAACTTGGGTAAGATGTAGATTTTTATCTTAGGTATTTCATAAATGCACTTGTGTAACAAACATAATTGTCCTGGGAGCTATGTACAAAGAAAAAAAAATTGCATTCACTTGTATTCTTGGAAACCATTTTACCTCTTGTAAATAACAATGACACGGCTAACTGAGAAGAAGGCATGGTTAGTTCCTTTGAGCAGGTGATTTTTGTTTTCCTGCTATTCCTGGGAAGTTTGGTGCAAGAACTTGCAGCTGGAAACATATCTGCAGACAGTGATTTTGTGGTTAGCAAATGGAGTAGTTTGAACGCAACAGTGTGGAGAAGAGTCTTGTTCCAGCCCTCCAACAGGTGTGGGTTTTGCTCCCGGTTGATGTTAAAACGATCATTCTTGGATCTGTTGCCATCAGTTACGGGAGTATTAGTACTGAGATGTCTGTAATTTCCACTGGGACTGGGGAGAGTAACTTCCAGATTGAAGTCGGGCAATTTAGTGTACCCATCCGATACAGAAACCCTCTATGGATCACAGCCCCATAGTCCAGACAAGTCATCCTGTAGACCTGCTGTGTGTTGCTAGTTGTCAGTGAATGGCATCTGAGGACTTGTCTGCCTTGATGGGTGCAGATAGTTTGGACGTTCCCCTGCCCATGCTCCTGCCTGGCTGGATGTAAGCCATGTCTTCTCCAGAAGCCATGTAATCCCATTAGTGTGGCACTGAGCCCCTCCTCCCAGCCAGCCAGATGCAGGTCAGCCCCATCCTAGAAGCCATGTAACCACTTGGAGCATGGGTAGACCAGACACACAACTGTCCACGACATTCCTACATGAGCCATAAGTGGCCCAGGACAAGAATAAGTAAGAAATAATGTAATCTGAGACTGGTAAATGAACTGTACATTCATGTAGGTTTATTGTAAATTCACTACTCATCAAACATAAAACCAATCCAAACAATGAAATTTGTATGTGTTTTTAAAAATCTTGCACTTTACTATTTTTTTTTATTTTTATTTTATGTCACATAGTTGTCTTAATGCAAAAAGAAGCCATAAAAAACCCAGAAGACTAGTATGGGGTTTCTAAATAAGGGGATTGCTAATTTTGAAGTAAAGAATCCATTTCATGTCTCTGTTTAAGGTATAATGTAAAATACTGTCAAATAAATGTACAGTAAAGCAGGATCTGGTTTTGCCTTAGTGAAGCTGTGAGTAAGTTGGGGAGGGGGGGGGAGTTTGCTCATACTCTTGAGCTTCCCTGTGGGACTGTACAAAATGCTGCACACTCTCTTTGCAGCAGGGGCTCAATCCTGCCATCCTTTTTCACCCCAGAAGAGGGAATACAGTGCTCACAGAGTCAGGCCCAATGAAGCAATTAAATCATCCTGTTACTCTGATGCTTCCACTGAGGTCACAGTAAAGGAAGCTCCTCATGTTTCACAAGAGATGAGTTACTTCTGTCACATCTATTTTACAAAAGAGTTAAAGTTTTCAGGGTCAGGATATCCAGCAGAAATCAATCATTTCTTTTAAGCCCCGCATCAAAATTAAATGATGCCAAAGGGATTTCACTTGGATTTTTCTTAATTTCCATTATCAAGATCTCTGTTACGCAGTTTTAATTTTGCAATCCTGACTCTGGGGAGTTGACTCACATGAGTAGAAATTATTTCTGTCACTTAAGATGGCAAGATCAGGTCATTGTATTGTCATGTGAAAATAATAGTAGTGTGTTATAACTGACAATCAGATGCTATTTTTGTAATAAAGCTTTTTTAGCTTGTTTGTTTAACTTTGTAGTTTTCATACTCTTTCATCTCTCATTTTCAACAATGTAAGAAAAATCTGGAGAAGTCCCCCATCTTACACATTTCAAAATGAAAAAAGAATACATTGCCATGGAAGCCAGTCCAGGCAAACCCCTGAAAATTCCAGTTTTTCTCATGTGTTTATGTGTATGGATCATTATTCACTACATGAAACTCTTGTGTCACTGGATCAGTTCATTCTCTGTGAATATAAGTTTGTATATAGTATGAAAGTTAGCTTTATTTGTACATAGGCTCTCAGAAATAATCCCTTCTATCAAAAGTCCTACTTCACTGTATCTACAGAATGTTTCACTGTGGCGTGTACACTTTCTCACCTAATGATATCAATACAGAGCTCTCCATATAAATCACTTTATGTAATTGAGTTGTCTAAGTGTGAATAACAATAACAACAATAAATACTAATAAAAAGACTTAACGGTGTGTCAGTTTGCTCAGTGTCTTCTGTCTTAATTGTTTTGGACTGGGTATGGCTCTGAAAATAATATTTTAACTGCCTGCTTTGGGTTGAAGGGTGATCTGCAATGCTACTCTTCATTGTAAGTGTTCAAGCAGCACTAAATGTCTCTTGCCATGTCACTGTGCATATGCAGAGTAAGGAAAACACCTGTGTTCCAGTGAGCCTAATACTTAGTTAAACGAGGGGTTTTTTTCTACAACCCAATGTGAATCCACCAGTTGACAGCTTCTTGCAGCTGTGTATGACTGGAGCCTTGTGGTCCCATTTGGGTGAAGTCCCCCTACATTTCTTTACTGACATGTTTGCTCACAGATTGTTTTGAATGCCGTTCTTCAGTTACACACCTCTGGTTTAGTCTTCAGGCTCTGAAGTCTGTTGTCCTTGCCAGCTAGGGTGTTTGGCTTTTTTTCAATCTGTCATTGGATGAATTATAGTTTTAAACAGAAGAATGATCTTCAATAAGTAATAGCAAAAGGGAATTGGTAATGTTTAAAATTTCCCATAATTAACCAAACTTTCCATCTTCAGAAGTTATAAAAGGTTGCAATAGACGTTATTATTGGTTGTCCTGTAGTAGCCCCAGAAAGTCATCCTCCACAGTGACATCTCATATGAGGCATTTTTTGAACCCAGGACAGAGATTTTTCATTCATCTTTAACTATATTAGAGCTTAAAAATTTTAGATTGGAAACAACAAAAGAAATTTGCAAATAGACTAACAAAGAGGTGAGAAAAGTGATGTTCCCAAGATATTCGTGTCTGCCAAATGGGAAAAAACCAACAAGGTCAAGAACATCTGGCAAAAAGCAAAGTTGGTGTTCGCTGCAAGTCACAGAGGCTTTGAAATTTAGGTGGGTGATGGAGACTTCGAAAGAAGGACTGTGTTAAATTTTACCTAGAGAAGTGAATATGCATACACACATACACACACAAAATGTGCTCTGTGGGTGTGTGTTGTCTTGCCTCACTGCTTGCTAGCATTTGGACCTTGCCTCAGCTTCAGCCACTTCTGAAAGAAAGTAGAGGATTTAAAATCCTTCTTTACAACATCAGGCTTTGATGATACCTGACTGGTGTGATCAGAGAAGGAAAAAAAATATATTTAATGTCATCCTCAGTCCTGCCTAGGGGAATGATGGCAAGTTTCCTTGCCACATGTTTCCTCTTCCACATGCAAGTACTTCACTGCCATATCTGTAGTGCTTGAGAAAACAAAGCTCTATTAATTCACTATTACTCTATCATTTACAAGTAGTTATATTTGGGGTGTTTATTGAAAAGGAGAAAAGTGATGTGCATTGTTAAAACTGAGTATTTGGTCCCTCCCCTGGAAAGACTTCAGCACTTGCCTTTAAAACATGGAATTTCCTTCCTGTTAACAGGTCTCAGAGGAATAAATATTTGTGCCAGATACCTGCAAAGAGTAAGGAGAGATAGACTACAGATAGTAACCTGAAAGAGGTGTTTTAATCATCCCTTCATCTCCTGCTAATGCAAATTTCCTCATCACAGTTTGGATAACACGTGTTTGTTGTGGTCAAGGGTTGTTTTGGGCAGGGCGATGAGGTATCAGTGATTAGTCTGTAAATCTACAGTATTGCCTCTGAGGCCTCAAACCCAAACTGAGCTGTCTCTCTCATGCCAAATATGAGTGTCACAGCCAGAAAAGTTACCAGCATCCCATAAGTTAAAGTGCACCAAATTGGATGCTTAAGCAAAAAATCGACAAGGATCTTTGAATGAACATGAGGTGTCCCACAAAGCTTGGAGTTACCCGCAACCACTTTTCACGTGTCCACCAGCAAAGATGAGTAAATACCAGCCCTCCACTACAACTTTCCCCTAACTGCTGCCCATAAATGTATGAAACTGCATCTGCTGGTTCCTCTGTAACAGGATTGCTGGCAGCGAGGCCAGGTCAGAGCCACAGAGGAGGTCTGGCTTGCCATCTAAGGCAGAGGAGGAGGTGAGCGTAAGGCTGTGCTTTGTGTGTACTGCCTGGCTTGGGAAAATACACCACTCCACTGGACCTGGAGTTTGATGCTGTATTCCAGAGAGCAGGGCAGGAAGGGATGACTATGAGAAAAAACAATGCAAGAAAACTGACAGTCTAAAAGGACATTTAATAGACTGCTTTCCTTCCTGTCTCCCTGCAGCCAAATTTAATTGTATTGTAAAATGGTTTTGTGCACTGTTTCAATTTGGTGACAGTGAAAAAAGCACAGCTCTCCTCCCCCACACCCTTTATTTCCTGTCCTTGTTGCTAACTAGGATGAAGGAAAAAGGACACTACTCCCAGCATTTTTTTAAGCCCCTGTGAAGATCTAGACCTGCTCTTCTCGTCCTGTACTGCCTGCCTGCCTTGATTCCATGCCATATTGCTGGTCAGAATTTGCCTCCATGGTGATGACCAGCTCTTATCGCTTCAGTGTCTGCATTTTCTTGACTAAGGGCTTGTAGCCTCATCCATTGTAGCTACGAGATATCTCTAGCCAAAAGTAGCTCTAAAGAGCTTGACTTATATATCTCACAGTATGCAGGACTACTCAAGAAAAATTAGTTTGGTTATTGGAAAAAATAGCTCCTTCCAGGCTAACATGCTGTATTGCTCAGCATTGAAGCCTCTGTCAAAAGTGTCAGTGAACACATTTTCTGTTATATTTTATAGCCCCTTTTTAAAAAAATGTTTCCTAAAATCCAGTTTACTCCCTACTCAGAACAATGATTTTCATCAAAGCTCTTACAGAAACTGACTGAAAAGCAGGAATTCCTTAAGGTTCATTATTGCTAATAAAAAACTTTCTCCCCCCAAAAGAAGTTTCCTGGACAACCTCTGCCCACCACCACCACCTGTTCTGCTAAAAACCTGTTTAAAACCAGGGTGTTGTCCTGGTAAAGCATGGGCAAGCATGGTTGAGCCAAACCTGCCCTGTCCTCAGCTGCATTTTTACTGTCCTGGGCCCCACCACACTGCTGTCCTCTCTGTTCCCCACGCTGCTCAGCATCCAAAATAAATGCTGTCACAAGGGCAGCCCTAGCAAGTGGGAGGTGGTGATGCTCTGAGCTTGAAGAGCTCAGGACTCACACAGCTCGGGCAGCAGGAAGGACTCCCATCTAGAAGTGAATCCACAGCCCTGGCTGAACGGGCTTGAAATTGTCTTGGCGTAACTCAGGTTCACCAATTGCAGTTTTGTTTTAGTTATACCTGGGATTTTCACCCTTTTTCATCTTAATTACTATCTCAGTAGGCCACTCGTGGTTTTGTAATCTATTGCAACCCTGACAGAAGTGTGGGGTTTGCTTAGAGCAGCGTAAGGGACTGATGCCAACGTGCTGCTCCTTCAGGCACGTTGCAGGCACTGCTGTCCTCCAGGTGAGGCCAGTTTGCTGCAGCTGGCAGCACTACTGACACTGCTTTTAACTGTCTTTGGTATCACTCAGCAGCTGGAAGGGCAGCAGCAGAGGTCAGCTCTGCAGGCACCGCCAGGCATCGTGGAAGGAGAGGCGAGCAGCAGAGGCATCCTCAGTGGTTTCACAGTGGGTTTTTTTTGCCAAAGTCTGGGTACCAACAGAAAGGTGACACCATGCACCCACTGCTCCACCTGCACTGGTGAGCTCTACTGCTCCTGGCTTACAGAAGGGAAATAGAAACAATTTATTGGTATAATGGTGCTTTTGCACCTGCTCCAGCTTGTGTAGAGCATCTAAAGTCACACACCCCCCAACACGCAGGCTTTATGAGCAGACACTTCTGGGAAGGGGCAAAAAAATTAAAATTTCCTAGCTACCAGTGTTGCCAAGGGAGTGATGCATTTCGCTCGTAGAGGGAAACAGCAATACATTTATTGATATAAAACGGATTTAACAAAGTTCAATAGTAAATGTGACAGTGGTTTAACAGGACTCAAGATGCCAAGGCACACGTGGTTATTTACTGCACAGAGGACAGGGTCAGACAGAACTGTCAGGGAGACCCTCCCATTGATTTGTGAGGTTCAGGAAGGCCCCCCCCGTGGTTCCTAAACTCCTTCTCAGAGAGGAGTCTAAGTGCAGCTGGATACAGCCCTACTCCCAGACTTGGTCAATGCTTTATGTCTAAAGGATTATATATGCACAATCCATCCTTTATATCACTTAACTGAGATTTCAAAGTTTAGCATGCTATTAGACACTTACCGAGGGTCTGTTGCAACAAGGAGTGTCTGAGCCTCCAGAAGTGACCTTGAGAATCGTCCCTCCTCAGGGGGACAGCCTGGCGTGCAGCCTGCTTCTGTGCACAAGAGCTCAAAGGGCTCTTGGACTGTTCATTATTTATGGGGGTAAGATGATTGACTTACAGTCATATTTGCATATTGACCACAGCACCCATTTCAAAGTTTAGCATGCTATTAGACACTTACCGAGGGTCTGTTGCAACAAGGAGTGTCTGAGCCTCCAGAAGTGACCTTGAGAATCGTCCCTACTCAGGGGGACAGCCTGTCGTGCAGCCTGCTGCTGTGCACAAGAGCTCAAAGGGCTCTTGGACTGTTCATTATTTATGGGGGTAAGATGATTGACTTACAGTCATATTTGCATATTGACCACAGCACCCGCATTGCTCAAGTTTGCCCTTGGCTATTGTGTTGGGAAACCACTTTGAGCCAGATGCAGCCATCCCAAGGCGATGCACCCACTGTGACCACCCCTGGTGGTGATCGCCTGGGCAGTATTATGGGAGAGAAAGGTCAGTTCCATGCCTGGGGGAGAGGGTAGGACGTTGTCACAACCAGCTCTGTCACACACCGCTGGAAGGAGGAGGTGGGCACAGTGATTTCCCAGACAGGCACTAGTCTTGGGAAGCGCCAAGGGAGACAGGTGGAATGCAACACAACCAGGTCGTGTCCTCAGTGCACAGAAGGTGGCTTATCTGGATTAATAACCCATGCCAGCACGGTTGCTGAAGCTCTTATTTTC